TTACAAAATCGAATAATTCATTTAGGCGGGAAAAACGAAAAAAATTGAAAAAATCACATACATTTTCGAAATGTTTTGGAGGGAAAAACACTTACCAAAAATTTATTTTTTTTTTACTCTATTTTATAATAGTAGATGACAGTCCATTCAGTCCATGTGATAGAGGTCATCCATTTACAGCATCTTCGATGTTCTCTTTATTGATTTATTTTGTTGCAACACGACACAATTAATTCTATGTAGCATGAAAAATGTTTAGAAGAATTTATAAATGTGGAAGTCATTCTAAACAACCAAAGCCGGTTCTGAAAAATTAGAGACCCCGGGCTAAATGATAAATAGTGCCCATATAATTTTATAATTCATAAATAATTTATCATATTATAAAAAAATATTAAAAACTAAAGATTATAACAAAATTATAAATTTTTAAAAAAAAAAATAAAATTGACAAGTACTAGCGACCCCATATATTTTTTATTTTATTTTTTTCACTATCAATTAAATTGATTTTCTGACAAAAAGAATTATGAAGTGCGTCGAAACTTCATTTCCTCAAATTTCTAGGAACGATCTTGGTGACTATAATAGTAAAACCTTGTGTTTGCATTTATAAAAATGAAGTTTTCAAATAAGGTATACATTAAATATTCCCATCTTTTTTGTTACTATGTTTTGTAAATACTTTATCTCTCTCTCTCTCTCTCTCTCTCTCTCTCTATATATATATATATATATATATATATATAACAATTATAATAAATGTGAGAGAAAAAAATTTATTTACTATAATAATTAATAATTAAATGTATGTTAGTAACTCATAATAAGAATTTGTTATTTCTTTTTATTAGACACTGAAAATAGAATAATATATTATAAGAGAGAAAAAAAATAATGTGGCAAATTGGCGAAAAAGAGACTAACATAATTAAATGAATAATTAATATTTTTATCAACACTCAACACATAATTTAGTAAGCCAACTGATAACTAAATTTGCAAAACAGATGAATTATTTAAAAAAATTAATACAAAAATTGGATATAACTATTCGAAACAAGTCTTTAGCGAGCTAGGCTAAACAATTTACATACAATTTTTTGATATGGCTCATATATTGACAAAGGAAGGAGGCAGGCTGATGCCTGCGAGCGTAACAGAGCGAACGTAGCGAGGGAAGCGGAACGACCGAGTGAAGTGAGCGGAGATTATTTAAGTAAATTAATACCTTGTAGGGTTATAGTATAAATACATGGTGTATTGATGTATTTGAGACTATTGAGAAAATAAAGATCCCTCAGCCGCCGTGGACGTAGGCATATTGCCGAACCACGTAAATCTTGCGTTGTTTACTTTTCTCATTTTTTAATTCGTATGTCATATTGTCATCTTCACTCAACAAATCCTCATACATATACAAACCCATAACAAAGTTGTAAAAGACTAATTTTATTTTTTTTGGTACAAAGAAAGAAAGAGGCTGAGGGCATAGTCTAAGACTTGCCGGGGAGACGAGACCCCCAATCTATCATGCTCGAGCCAAGGATCTAACCAGGGAGGTGGGGAAGACAATGTTTGGACCCTGGGAGGGTGTGAGGCCGCTAGACGGGCCATGAAATCCACCGCATAATTCACTTCTTGATGCACATGTTGGACCTTGACCTCCCAGTCTCTACGAAGGAATTCTTGGATGGCACGCACGCCATCCGCACAACATTTAAGTAATCGACTTCGACGTCCACCCGTCGAAATCCTCGGTCCCATGCCAAAGAGAGGCCTTGGAAAAGACCCTGTAAAAGACTAATTAACATAGCTTAAAGTAGTTGGTTACTAGTAAAACACCAAACTGAAAAGCCCAAATATAAAATGGGGCTTTAATATATAATTCAATGGGCCTTAATGCTTTGGTGCCCCTCAAATTTGTGGGCCCTGGGCGGTCAGCCTGCTGCCCTGCCCCAAGGCCGGCCCTGTAAACAACTTATATTATATATTAGATTATTTATTTAATTTATCTATTTTCTCCAATCAATTAAAATTTTACACATCACATCACAAATGATACCACAACTAATATTATTAACCATTAAAAACACAAATTTTTAATTTTTTTTCTCCATGTCAATAATACAAAATTGACAATATTCCCTTGAAAATGCTCTTAACTGGTATATAGACTATAATTTATTCTAAGGAGATGCTCTTATACTCAATACTCTTTTTTTTTAGTAGCCAGTCACATTATCTGAAACTTTGACCTGAATAATTCGTTGGTCGATTCGGGTAGCCCATCTGGCAATGGTGTGTGAGTCTCCCCAACAGTTTTTTGCATTCACAAAGACTCAAAACCCGAGACTTTGCTTAAGCGACATCAAACTTTTAACACGTGGCCATAATGCCTCTTTTTTTTTTCTTTTTTTTTTTTGGGTACAAAGAAAGAGACTTTGGCCTAATAGTTTAAGTCACAAACGTTTTGCGAATAGGACACGTTGATAAGATTATGATGAAGCCATTGTTGTACCCCATTGGGTGGAGCGTGAAAGACATGGTACCCCATCAAGGAAGCCCTATAATTAACTGCAAAATTCGCTTCGCGGAAGACATGTTTCGTCTTAACCATCCAAAAACAACTTAATGGTCTTTAATACATAGATGAGGCCCGTGTGGACCTCGGGCACATCACCTAAAGATTCAGAAAACCTCCAACAGGGGTTGACTCAAGTGGTAATCAACTTGATGTCGCTTAAGCAAGGTCTTGGATTCGAGTCCTTGTGGATGCAGAAAACCCTTCTTGGGAGACTCACCCACCGCTGCCAGGTGTGCGACCCCGGTCGACCAACGAATTAGTTGGGGCATAGCTCCGGATACCGTGGCTGACTAAAAAAAAAAAA